ATATACAAAATAATATATAATAATTATACAAAAATAATAATTACAAAAAAAGATTACACGAAAAAATATATCAAGTATTAATTAATAGTACATCGTCTAATTAATTAATAGTATATCTAGTATATTCTATAATTTGATAATAATGTGAATATTAGTATATTATGTTAGTACAGTTATATTAGTACAGCTATTATATATAACATCTGCGTTATTAACAGATTTGAACAATATTATGAAATAATATAAAATTTATTTTTTTTAAGAACTGCACAATTAAAAAAAAGTTTAAGAAACTTTTCTTACTTCTTTAATAACGTTTTTTATTTATTTATTTTTTAAATATGGTACATTTTAAATATGGTTCATTGTTTATTAAATGTCTTAAATGAATTAAGGATTTGACGAGCCTTATAAGGACCAGCATATAATTATACGTAATGCTTATACACTTGTAATTAAGTTATATTTTTTTAAAGTTTTATAGACAAAACAAAACAGAACGATAATATATTTCTAGAAATTTAAAAGTTAATGTCAAATTATAACTTTATTTTTTACTATCTTTTAAAATTGATTACTATTTTTTATATAAACCTTGTATACACTGTATGGATGTTTATTATACAGTTGGCATTTTTCATTAGTATTTTTTTATTATCTTTTTTTATAATATGTATTCTTTGTTTTCTGAATTGTTAATTGAATCTCTTCCACTAATTCAAAAATCCGATATCTCTAAATCCGAAAAGGTATGGGTTAATTCGTATTTCTTACTTACTGTGCGTGCTCTTTGCTATCTTTGGTGACATGCGATGGTTGCAACGCTGTATGACAAACTGATGTATTAGCACGTTTTACAAATGATTCAACTGCAACATAAATAGTATTTGCACAATAAAAAAAATGCCTTTACGTTATATTTTTTGCACTAAAAATTAATTTAAGGTAAATATATGCAGAAGAATTGCAAGATTACGCATTTTAAATACAAATAGATATATTTATGATATAAAAGGTCGACATAGCTATGATTGCAACATCATGTGATTGCAATAGCTGCTATGATTAAAATATAATTGGCAAAAAGTACTACATATAATGCTAAAGAAATTATTTTTACTATTGTCATAACTATTAATGTTAAGATTTCTTACTTTTCATCATTAAAAATTTATTATATTGTATATCCATATTCGCAATCTAATGATGAAATAACACAAATGATAAAATATTATAATAAATTTTTATGATACTGTTAATATATAATATGTTTACTTATGTTCATACTATATGTTTATACTATATATGTTATGGATGCAAGTAAAGTCCGCAAGTTGACAACTGCACTAAATCCCAAATAAGTTCCAATAAGAGTTGGCACATATTTGGTGCAAATGCAGTTTTGTGCAGTGGATAACCATATAATTAAATTAACCCTGGTAGCAAACTGATGTCAAAATGACGACAAAATGACATAGCTGCGTATACATACCTTGAAATTCACATTTGGCCAAACTAATATAACTGTTGTCTGTAAAAGCGAATGTATTCCAAAGTCACTTGAATTTCCAAATATATTCTAATCATACTCTTCATTGAAAATACTGGTATATTTCAATTAATTATGGAACAAATAGGATTGGTGTACACTGCAATGTATTAATTCGCTGGGTCATAGTAGCGGCCCGGCTTATCGACGTTTATTTTTTATTTAAATACTATCAACTTTAAAACTGCAAGAGACAAAAATCATTGATTTTCTTCTCATAGAACTGTAAGAATGTTTTCAGAATTTTTTATCAACTTTTTAATATTGCATTTTCTTATTTTCGATAAATCGGACCGCTACTATGACCAAGCGAATTAATGCACTGTTGCATATTAGCAGAATTATTTTATTTTTTTAATGAAAAAAAGATTCTCACTTTTCAAAGTCATTTTATAATAGTTGAACTGCAAAAAATAATTTTGTTACTAAATGTACGTGAGTGCAACTCTTGAAGAAGAAAAATTATCTCTGTAAATTGCTGTGCGACTGCTCAAAGATGTAAGTAATTAAGTTTTCCGCAGATAGAGTTTTTGTGAACAAATGACTTTTTGCAAAAACTAATGAACAGGCTAGATTTGTTTGTCGTTATGAGGGCTACATTTTACAAAAATTTCGAAGCTTTGCGTTTAAATCTCAATGAACAAAGAGCGAATGAAAAAAAACCTTTTCCGGTGGTTTTTATATTTTTTCTCTTAACTAATAGATTGATTTTAATATTCCACGTCTCATTTTGTAGGTCTTTCGAATATCTACATTTTTATCGAACTTTTTTCTATGCAGTATCTTTCATTTTATAAGCGAAAAAGCGTGCTTTTTGCAAATATTCGATTTTTTTTCGCATATTTTCTTCACAAGTCTCGAGTCTCAAATATACGCATTTCTTTTCTAATGATTTTTCGAAGATTTTCGTGAAGAGAAATGCTGGTTTATAATTTTTTTCCGGTAAAATTCTACTTCTACTGAACTATTCTTGCTACTTGAGTTTATGAAGGAGGTTTATAAATATAACGCGCATGAAAAATCGTGAACAATTAAATATTTTATAAACTGTTGCGTTTTAACCTGATTTATTATTCTGGATAAATAGAAGGTATACACTATTATTACAATTTATTAAAACTTATATGTTATTTAGAATGATCCTCGTCCCTTATCGATATCGTGGGTCTTTTACATATACTTAATACAGCTTAAAAATTTTGAAGTTAAACAATTTCTGATATGAACCGAAATGTTCGTTGAGCATTGAAAATAATCAGATAATACCTGTTTTTTAATCGAAGATTTGTTTCATGTGGAAATATATATAATATATCATATTGTTTCATCAATACATATAGTGTTAGCAACCTATATCTCACGAATAACACAACGTTATCTGTCATGTTTCCAATCTTGAACTTAATTTCTTATACGCTTAATTTCCATCAAATAATTTACAATTTAACGTAATTTTAATTAGCATCATCAGATTCCATGCCTTAACAATTATAAAAAATGATGTTGATTTTACTTTTTACGGACACAGCAAAAATGAACCTTTTCATAATATTCTTTTTTCTTCTAATTTTCTTTTGTCTTTTCCAACATGAAACTATTTCGCATAATTAACTCTTTGCAAAAATTTACTTGATATTGAATGCAGCAACAAGATCAGCTAATACATCGCTCATATCCACCTGACGACCTCTTCGAATTACATCTAGATTTTTTTTTACCATCAACCAACCGACGTGAGAAAAAAAGAATCCTCGATTATTGTTATGCGGATCTGCATCCGTATCTGTATATTTGTGATGCACTCTATAATCTCGTACTCATTCGTAAATGTTGTTCTGAAAGGATTTAATTATAATAAAAAATTTTTTTCTATTTTGTATAAAACAAATAAAACGATAATAATATCATCTATCATGCCAGCAGAAACATAAAGAACCAAGTATAACTCTAAGCTGCCACTTTGCTTTATAAGCTTGATAAGTTTAAAAACGATAAGGACCGGCAGTAGTACCTACTCCTTCTAATCCATACATGATAAATTCTTGAAACAAAAAGGGCATAGGCATAATTAAAAATTAAAAATACTTAAAAATACTTTAATATTATACATAACAATTTAATCCATATTTCTCATGGGAGAGTCATGTAAGTAGCACTAATTTTATTGCGACATTTGACAATTTATGATAACTTATAACACAATAGATACTTAAAGACTAGCTTTAAATAACTTGGCTTTAAATAATTTTAAAACTAAGGCAAAATATATAAAGGAACATAAGAATTA